CAGACTGGCAGGCCTTGCATGCCATTTGTCTATCTCCACACTCGAAGATAAAATCGAGGACCCTCAGGAAAAAATTAGTCACTTCACTCTTCACTGTACTTATATTCGAAATAAATGTTTTAATTTTTGCAATAAATAGGTAATATAAAAATTGCATTGATTATTGTATATATAACTTTATATAACTTTTTTCAAATTAGAAAAATTAAAAAATAAAATTTTATTCAACATGATTTAAAAAAGATTTTTTGTTTTAAAAGTTGTTAACATAGAAACATATAAATTGAGAATTAATCCTGATCGAATTAAAACAATTCTATCACTTTTTTTTATTTATCACCTAATATGTTGCACAAATTACTTTTAATAACCAATTTTGTAAGTTCGAATATCCAAATAAATTATTTTTTAGTGCTTTCTCTCACTGTCTGCGTTAGTGTCTTTGGCACAATGCAAGTGACAGTTTATGGCATGCAGGTATGGCATGCATTTTATTTGCTTTCGATTAGAGCCAACTAACTGTCTCGTCTGCTGCAGTTTGTTTGCCATTTGTTTATGGCGACTAATTTCGTGTTAAGAAATTTGCAAACAACCCGTTCGTAGTCGCTTCGTTGTTCGCCAGGTCCTCGGGCCCATTTGTCATGCCCAAATGGGCGGTTCTCGCAATGAGGCAAAGCGGTCTAGACAAGGGACCGCCCACCCACGCCAGTCCGCCTGTCAGTGGCAGCTGTTCGTCTGTTCGTCCGTCTGTCAGCCGGAGGAAGCCGCCCTGAACTTGAATTTTAAACACCGAACCGCAAATAACATGTGTGTGTGGCCGTAGGTCGGGGTGTGTTGTCTGTGGTCATTAAATGTCAGCGGCAGACGGGAAAAATTCAAATGCCCAATAGCTCCTGCGAGCTCCTCATGTTACGCATTAACAAGCCGATAACTGTCATTTGTGACATTAAGGTAGCAAGTACTTCACTTCTCAGAAAATTTCATCAATTTTAGATACAGACAACTAGTAAAAGCTATAAATATTTTAAAGTGGTATAATAAACAAAGTCTGGCAAGAAAGTCGTTTGAAAAGTTTAAAACAAAAAGGATGTTATGATATAAAACTTTAAGTACTGAAAATATTAAAGTATTTTTCCTTTTCAAGGAAAGTATTTGTATGGCCCTAAAGTTTCTTTTTATAGTATTAAACTTTGACTGCTTTGGATAAAAATAAACTACCAATATTTATTGGGTACATTCTTACCTCACAGCCAAGCTGTTAATTAGTTTTTCATATGTGGTATAAATCATTTCATAAAAGCACCGAGTTGAAAAACGCTAAATCAACAGATTCCCGGATCCCACTTGATGATATTGTCACGTACGGCATCATACGCTGCGTATGCGCAACAAATCGGGGCCAAAGCCAAATAAACATAATTTTCTCCTTTTTCGCCACTGCTGCTGTTGCTTTTCCTGTGGCCCATCAACAATCAAGCTAAAAGCCACGTTCAGGTGGAGTTTCCTCCTTTTTCCGTTTTTCGTTTTTATTTTTTTGGTTTTTGTGTTTTGGGCCTGGGAATGTGAGTGTGTGCCGCATATGTAACAATGTTTGCCTGGCCAGATTAAAAATTATGCTTTGTTTGCCCAACTGTCAGCAGAAAAAGCACGAGCAACACCAACAATATTGGCGACATGGAAAACCCTCCCAAAAAAAAGAAAAAAAGGGAGAAGAAGACTAGCAGAATAAAAAACTGGTGTAAAAACTTTTCTGGCCTACACACAGTGACAGTGACAACAAACCAAACAAAAGTTGGCAAAGCCTCGTTTCGTTGTTCTTACCTTGCCCCAAAAATGTGTGTCAGCTGATACATAAGAGCCACCACCTCTTCACCCCCTCCACCCACTGCACCACCCACGCATCATAATCATTTTTTTCGGCCACACCGTGTTGTTGGTAGCAATCAGCATTTTTCTTTATTTCTGCCCGTTTTGCAAGCTGAAGTTTATTTTGTAAACATGCCACTAAAAGTTTTCCACTTTGCTCTAAAATACTCAAACCGAATGCCAACACCAGCGACAACGTGTCCCGCTCCCCTTCCCCTCCCTCTCACCCAAAAAAAACCCCCCCTCGAAAAAACCCCTCCTTTGTGTTAGCTGTTTTTTAGTTAATTTAAAAAGTTTTTTTGCAGCTCCTGGCCTGCTGAGAAATTTCTGTCGTTTCTCGTTTTTGATTTGCAGCAGTCAGAAAAATTGGTAAACGATTCGTCGAAATGTTGTTAGGGCACTACAACCACACTCACACACACACACACATAAACATACACAAATACAGAGGGATATTTTTGTAGTGGCAGTTGTAGTTGCGGCTGGTCGAGAGTCCTGGGAAAACTGACATTTGTGCGCCGTTTCCTCCCTTCGTCAGTATTTTTCTTCACAGTTTTTCTCCCTCGTTTTTGCCAAGGAATTGCTTTTACATTTTTTTCGTCGGTTTGCTTTGCTTTTGACTGCTGCTGCTCAAAATGTTTCTTTTATTTATGTGCTGTCACCGAAATTGAATTAGAAATCGCTTGGCAGTCGTGTCGGTGGTAGAAATGGATCTTAACTCTGTAAAATCTGTGATACACGCCATTTGCCAAGTAAAGTATTCTTCTAAATGTATAAATTTAAAAACACAATTCTGAGAAGATAAGGATAAATTTTGTTTCAAGAAATGGTGGTAATACATTAGGGAAACTATTTAAAGTATGACTATAAATTTGTTTATTGACATTTATTTTTATTGAAGAAAAGGTGAAAAGCTATGATATTAACCTTTTTAAAACTAAAACCCTTAACTTGCTTTATTAAATTCTCCCTCGAACTTGATTTACGAACTACCAGATTTTATTCAAAGGCAAAGCAAGCCTTAAATGTCCCTTTTAACCTCTCTGCTGAATTTCAATGGGCAAGTTATCTGGCCAAGATGACCTGCTTTGCTTACCAAAACATTTGCCATTGTCTGGCGCTCTGTTTTTGCAAAGCGTTCAGCTGAAGCCGTTAACTGCACTCCGGGAAGTGCACGTTCGGTGGCCTTTAATTAGATTCCATTCCGCCGACGACATCGTCGTCCTGCTGCTCAGCTGTTATTATTCTTGCAGGACATCGGAGCCCGTTGACAACTGGCTGCTGTCCTGCGATGCGCCACTCTGCATGTATCTCCATCTTGCTAAAAAATTTTTGCGCTTTTTGCCTGAAGAACGATGGGAAATAATTTGGCAAGGATGCTGTCCTTTGCCGGCGAAAAGGACGCGGAGTAAGTGGGTCGAAAACGTGCGTTTGACGTGGCCATTTGGCGCACCTTCCCAGGGAGATATGGCACTATATAGAAGGACGATGCGATGCGATGCGATGCGATGGTTTGTTTTCACAGCGATGCTGCCTTTTTCTCGCCGTGTGTATTTAGGCGAAATTTATTTTACTAATTATTATGTAAGCAGCGGCGCTTTGAAGCTTCAAGCGGGGAGCGGCGAGCAGCGAGTTTTGGTTAATGAAATTAAAGCGCTTCTAAAGTGGGCCACGCCCACAGTCGCCTCTAATTTTCTATTACGTAATTTATGTGCCAGGTGTATCTAACACGTTTTCGAACGCAGCATAACGCCAAATGATCGATAATTTATACCCATAAAATTAAGTTAACCTTGCTGAAGGAATTCCCCCATTCAGCGCTTGGCAATATGATAATGTTCGGGTTTTAACTCAATTTCGCATGGCAGCGCCGGTGGAAATTCCCCTGGCCCAAAGTGGACAGCAAAATAAATTTTTACACACATATTCGGTGGAATAACACAGCATATATTTACTATACTATATATAGTGGCATGTTGTGTATTTTTTATTGCTCTCCGGGGATAATCAGCGGCAGCAGCGGCAGCAGCAGCAGTGGCAGCAGCAGCATCGGTGGCAAAGCTAATGTAAAGTCCAACGCAGACACATAAAAATGGGAATTTATGCATTTTTTCGAGGCTGAGGGCCGAGAGCAGTGAGCCAGAAGAGTCGGCCGAAAGTAGCCACCGCAGGGAGCGGGCCAACAACATCCTGCCAGGTGTAAGTGTATATATATGTGTGTGTGTGTTTGAGGAGGATGATGGGCATCCTGGCATCCAGGAGCAACAGAGGTGACACAGGTGACGCTTTTGTGGATTTGTGGCCAACATTGGCGTTTATTACTGGATGGCGCGTAGAGGGAAAAAGGAAGTGCGCACATGTCGCCCAGGAAAAAGCGCCACGGCAACAAAATATCCATAATGAAGTTGTAAAAATTGCAAATTTTTATTTCCATTCTTTTCCGTATTAATTTAAACCATTTCTACCTCTCGCTGCGCAAAACTTTTGTTCGTTTATGCAAACGACACTTTCAGAATACAACAAAAAAATTGTTGACCACATTTTTAAATGTTTGGTTGGAAAAAATATGTACCGAACTTCAAACAATGGATTTAATTGTTCAATTAAGGGCAGCGCGTCGAGGCAAATAAATAAATTGTTACGGGAGAAACTCAAATATTTTCAATAACACATGAATTCCCCAGCATATTTGCATTTTAATGTGATTTAAAAATAATTTTCTTCTGCATAATTAGCCAAATAAACCTTATCTCTCGGCAGACTTCGCCCGACGACTTCTCCGAAACAAACTCACAAACGACTAATTAAAAGTGTATAACTTTTGCTGCATAATTAAATTTTATTTGTCCTCAACGTTGACTGACAAAAGTTGCAAAGCAAAAAACTCTGTCACTTTAAAGCTTATCTGAAGGTTGAAAAAATTTGTGCAAACAATGCAGATATGAAAAATTGCCATTACAAATGAAACGGAGCCTGAGCAAATATGCCAAATGGCCAGGTAAACAAATGCCAATAAAGTATTCCGGGCAGTTGAGAGGCAATAAGAATGCGCTGGCCTTAATTAATAATTTTTAATTATCCAGTGGTTGATGAGAAATTTGGCAGAACGGTATTTATTTGATTTTATTACTCACCTGGCTTAAAGCCATCGGCGTGCTCGTGCGAATTTGCATAGGTTATGGCTCCCAGGATCATGAAGACAAGAAACGAGGCGGTGATGGTTATAGACATGGTTATAGCTCTCCCGATCCAATTGGCGATTGGCGATTGCCGATTGCGGTTCAGTTAGTATTCTGAGCTTCACTCGATTGCGGCTCACTGTGTGGGCATTAGGTATGCAAATAAATTGGTTTCGCCCCGCTCGAACATCGCTTCAAATATTTAAGCTCGTTGCTCCAAACAACAACTCGTACTCCCAATGATTTGTTGGCGGCGCGTTTTATCGTTTTCACTCGTGTTTTCGCTTTTCACTTAATTAAAAACTTCTGCGCTGCACATAAATTCATTTTAATATTTACAAACATTTGCCCGGCTCCTTAGCTGCTGTTTGTACAAAACGCATAACCGTTAAGATGAATTTTTAATAGAATTTGACGAGGCTTAACTTTGGTCACCTAACTTCTGTGCTTGTGCGTGTGTGGGTGTGTTCGAGTGTGTTTTTTGCGCGTTTCGCTGTGTGTGTGTGTTTGCTTATAAATATTTAAAATAAAGCGCGCACGTGTTGCTCATTTCGCGCTCTTTTTCTTGCCCGCTCTGCATTAAAAATGTAATTTCAAATCCTTTTTTCCTCGCATCCTGGAGCTTAGGACTCCCTTAGTCCTTTTTTCCCATTCCGAGTGATAACTGCAATTAAACAGAGAGGGAGAGATACACAGTTAGAGAGGGAAGCAGAAATAGCGGTCGTTTTATGTGGTTAGTTGGGTTTTAATTAAAATGCTCGCGTATTTGCCCACTAAGCCAGTTCGTTTTGGGGGATTTCTTGCCGCTGCTCTGCCATAAATAAATGTTCATTAATTCGAAGGCTATTACATAATGCCAGGACACACACACACACACCCCGAGAACAACTTAATGCCAATCAATAATGATGGATTAGCCAGGGACACACAAGAGAACTTCTATCTATCTGCTTGGGTTACGCAAACGAATAGCCACAAGTTCAGCTAAGATGAAAATTAATTGGGGAGGCACACAGTAAAATAACACTGCACGAAAAGTTAGTAAATAGTATGTTCTAGAATATTTATCCTTATGCAATATATACTTAAGTCGTAAAAAACAAATTCAAATTCAGAGTGGAGAAACCTTTACCTTACTGAATCTAACCGTGAAGTATCTTTGGAATTAATCAATTAATATTTCTAACTTTTTTTCCAGTGCATTAGCATAGACAAAAAAAGCTACAGATTCCAATAGTAAGCAACAAAGATCTCTGTTGCATGACATTCCCAATCGCCTTGTCAATGGCCTTATGTGTGGCCACAAGTCTTAAACAGGAAAAACTCTGGATCACACACCTCCCCCACATCTCCACCCACACCACCCACTTGCTAACTAACGGTAATTGACAAAAGAGTCATGAAAACTTTGACTTGAAAGTTGTTGCCACGTTTTTGTTTAACACGCAGCCAAACAAGCTGACAAACTTGTATGACAGCCAGTCAAGCGAACTTCTCCAGCGCCTGGGAAAAAACGTCCTGCGGAGGAGGACGCAACAGGATGTGGGTGCAGGTGCGATGGGTCAGAGGAGCAGAAGTAGGAGCAGGAGCAGTAGCCCACCTGAGCAGCAGGTACGTAATACCACCAGTCACACCCATACACACACTAACATATACACACACACACACACACACCACAGGGACAAGTTGTGTTACTTGAGCAAGTTTGCATTGGGTAATTAAGAGCTGTGCAAGTGTTTATTGAGAGATTGTCGGCGGAGAGTGTCTCTACTTATGTGAGTGGGTTTCTGTGGGGGGAAAAGTTTAGTTTTTCCCAAGCTGAGCTGAGCGAACCACAAAAGGGAAATGGGAAAAAACTTGGACTGCTAAGGACGATTAAGGGGTTTAAGATGGCATCTTCGTTAATATTCTCAAGACATAACTGTGAGGGAAATTTCGATTACGAGCACCCCATTACATTATATTAAAATTCAAATGAGTTATTATGTAACTTTTTCCATTAGGGATCAGTATAATAATCTATTTTGTTATCCTTTGAAATGACTTATCGGTTAAAGCTTTAATAAAGTGGTTTTATTAATTTGTTGTTGCATTCGTAAACACTTGTCGTTAAAATGTCCCACCGATATGCATCTTAACAAGTAATATTTCTGCACTGCTTTTTCTATGAAATCGCTCGACAAATTCCGAGTCACTTGGCTAGTCAGTGAACCCATTTGCCTATGCCTATGGAAACAGTCAACAAATGGCACATTAGAGCACAGAACCGATGGCATCGGCTGAAAAAGCAGGCAGGCAAACAAAAACCATTGACAAAAACCCAGTCAATTATGCCAACAATATGCACACATTTCAAAAACGATACCAGCAGACCAGGAACCAGTTAAAACAACAAAACCGACAAGGACAACACGGATATTCCATAAAACTATGGCAATGTTAAACAATAACAAAAAATAAGGTGGCCGTGCTAGAGGGAAATGGTGAAGAGAACAAAACCTAACCAAACCAAACCCAAAGCGAACGAAATGAAATGAATAAGCGATGGTGGTAGTCGAGTCCTGGGAAATGGAGTGGAGTCAGTGTGAAGTTGGTTGAATGTTTTTGCCCGTGGCAATAGTTTTATTTTTTGCTCACTGTTTACGCTTACCGAAAGTGTTTAAGTTTTAAAATGCTCTTTATACCAAGAAAATGGAAAGTTGTTAATTGTTTTAGGTTCTTAAAAATGTTAAGAAAGGACACTTACTTGTCCAAGTTTGGTTTTCTGGACCTACTGGAATTATTTTACATACATAATAGGTATTCATTTTAGTAATGAAAGAAGATCTGAAATGACATCAGAAATATGTATCTATAAAAATTTTTGTAGTTTCCTAACCTCTGTACATTGTTTTATTTTGTTTTAAGAAATCACTAAAACATTTTGTATTTTAGGCGAGTTCAAGTGTATTCAAATCTTCGACCAGTAGATTTCCCACTTTTCTGTTGTGCTTTTTTCTCTTTCACATTTTCATTGCGAGTTACCTGGCATTGCCTTTGGGCGCTTAGCGTATAAATTGAGCGCAGCAATTTCATTTAAATGTGCACAATAAACTTAGTTCATGACCCTCGAGCATTTTGGTTGGCCTCCGACCGTCTCCTTCGGTGTTGTGTGTCGTTTGTGTCTGCACATCGTCTAAATTGTAAATCACATTAAATTTGCGAGCAACATGCATAATGCAGGCAAAAAGGAGGCAAAAAGACGCAGCCACGACGAATGACAGTGCCACGGGAACCGGAAGTGCAGCACAAACACACACAAACACACTAAGTGATTCTCCCTTTTTTTTGTTTTTGTTTTTGTGGGGCAATTGAAATGAAATGAATTGCGGTTGAGGAGTCGGCAAACAAAGCAAAGTCAGCAACATGAAACTGAAGAAGAAACAGGAAGGGAACCGCCCGCCGCGAAAATTGCACTGGAAAAACTGTCGCCCGGCGAGGAGGAGGAAATCGATAAGCATGTGGATGGAAAAGCGGAAGGCCAAAGAAGAAAACTTAAGCGATCGGATTGAGCGAGTGGCACCGGCATAAAGGTAATTTAGTCGCTTGACATGCTTTTCAACCTGCCAACCGTTTTTCATTTCACTTTACTCCGCTTTGCCATCGAGATTTCCTGAACTTGTTTTTACAGCATTTCATTTGATTTGCATTTCCTTCGATGAAAAAGATAGTGTGTGTGTCTATCTATATCAATACCTATCTGCGTTTGTCAGGAGATTTTCGAGGTATTTGACAGCTGGGGAGATGCAAATTGATTGGCTAAATGAAAATTAATTTAAAGCAGCCTGCAGCTGGAGGGTAAAATGGAATTCGCTGGCGGGTACTCCAATTAAAAGTCGCCTCCAGCTGCAACTGCCCACCCACTCTCATACAATTTTAAGCAATATTTTAAAAGCCTCGTTCGCGTCTGCTGCATATTTCATGTTTTATATTTACAGCGAACGGAGAATTTTCGGGATGAGCCGGGGGGTTGAGTGGTCGAGCTCCACTTTTGCACCTGCAACTGCAACAATTTCTTCTGCTCCTCGTTGTTCTGTGTTTTCTGTACTTTTTTTTGTATTTTTTTAAAACATTTTTTTTTTATTTTTTCCTGCCTCAATTTCCGGCAAACTGCCGACACGGCTTATCCGTCTACCGCTCCCATGCTTTTTGCCCTGCGGATCCTGGACCGTGCCTACTTTCATTTCAACTACACGCTCAAGTGAACTTTGCTAAATAATACAACAAATTGTGCAGTGGGGCCCACTCCAAGCACTCTCAACTCTCCACGCAAAAAAAAAATAAAAATGCTTAAACATTTTTGTGAATATATACGCATACATACAAGTTTCCACTTTTTTTTTTGCAACTTAAATTGCATTTTTAAAATCGAGCAGGGAGCGCGGGTGGCGACCTAAATATTTGCGATTTTGTTAAATTAAAAGGGAAGAAATAAAACCAGAGTAAGCATCGCGAATGCGAGTGCGAGAAATAAAAGGCGAAACTAAATCAACAAACGCCTACGGGCCAAAGGCAGACATTATGAAAATGGCGACAAACGACCGGAAGTGGCCACCAGCACACACACACAAGCACACATATATATATATATATGTATATATGCAGCACATGGGATAGTATAGCCCGTAGCTAACCTGGCGCTGACTTCCTGCGATTTAAATATGGCCAAGCCGCAGCGCTAAAGCCAAAAGCCAAACAGACGACAACGCATGCAAACAGAAGGGCAAACGGAAAGCAGTGTGTGGGGGGATGAGGGGATGGTGTGGGTGGTGGGAATGGTGGTGATGGTGGGGCTAGGAAGTGGGGCAGCGTAGGAAGCAGCCAGCTATATAATGAGGCTGAAACGCCAGGCTCGCATTTGCCCGCTGCTCATTTCCAGGTCGACATAATTTGTCCATAATTTGTCTGCGTCTTGCGTTGAGGGGTCGCCGGAAAAGGGGACGCGGAACTCCGTCTGAGGGTTTATCTATGCCCCACTGGGAAGCTATTTATGTCCTCTTTTGGGCCTCCATTCACCCCAAACGAATTTCGGCAGCGGCTTCATGGGGGAAACGTAAATTATGAAACTGAGTCGATTTTTAATAGAGAAATTGGTAAGGCAGTTAAAATGGAATACACTGCATGGGAACCAGATAAAAATTCGTTGAATACATTTATAAAATAATATGAACTGACAGTTTATTATATTGTATTATAGCAAAGTTTATATAAGAATATTTTTAAGTTATATTAAAGTTATTCCTAAACAATGATTTCTTGATTACTGAAATATATTTTTAGTAACCTTTTTTTCAGTGTATTCATAAAGGGTAGCCACCACTAAAGGCGTGATAAGCGACATGCACACGTGAAAATGACCTACTTAACCACCTCTCTACATTTTTAGCTTCGACTAACCATTAATCTAAACCACTTTGGACACGGCACAAACAATTGCCGTGTTGGCCCCGGTGTTAACAACTTTTTCACGGCTCTCACTGACCACGGACTAATTAAACGGGACGGGGTCTAATCATGTTGAATGTGTGACCACTGATTGATTGATTGATTGATTGCATGCTCGTCTTTCAAAATGCGAAACTCTCTGAACAACTTATGAAGAAGAAAAAGGCGTTTGAATGGTCA